TTGACATATTATTATTATCGTATTCCGCCTTAAGGTAGTATACGGTAAAGAAGAATGCCATCGTGGAGGACTTCCTAAAGGAAACTGGCTCGTATTAACAAGTTACACATGGGGAAAACCACGAAAACGCCCATGCAGCCAGCCCGTTCATCGGATTCGATCCTCGGACACCGCTCGGCCACCGGTGAGCGTACTTTGCCATAGTCAAATAAAAATAACCCTTTTCTGAGGACCTTTTCGTGAGGCCTCTTTCTCTGATGCCCTAAGTACATGCTTTGCTTTGGTTATTCCAGCGCTGGTTAGGAGAACCAGCTGTACTATCACAATCTGTTCTGAAGACTTTCTAACACTTTTTTTAAACAGTATCACGAATAGTTTGGGTGCTCATTCCATATTCTTCGGCGAGCTTTATTTCGATTTTGTTTAAATGTTAAAACAACTTTCTTGCGCTTAGTATTTGCAGAGTATTCGTTATTCATTTTGTGATTCTAAAATCAATTTCTAAAAGAATAAGAAGAAAATATGCACGAAAATCTGTATGAAAGAAAGGAAATTACAAAGAAACTTGCCTTGCAAATATGCATAATGAATTATGCAAGGCAATCGTTGAAACTAAATCTAAACACGCAATTCGGCGGATTTTAGGGCGCGCTTGGACTTGCGGGTGTTTCTTTTTACACACTTTCACGCATAGCGTTGAGTGTACGTACGTGGGCACAACCATGAGCGGGTAATCCGGAATTCGGATAATCCGCACCCAGATGATACAGAGTGTATTGTAACAGTAAGAAATACTTGATAATAATAACAGTAATTAATTAATTAATAATAGTAATTATGTAATATTTAATTAATAATATTTAATGAGTTAATATTAATAATATTTAATAATTAATAATATTTATTGAGTTTTGCTTTGGATTTTTTAGCATTACGTAAGGAGGAATGTTTCGAATAAAATTCGAATGTCTACACAGTTAGAGTTCTTTTCAAAAAAAAAAAAAAAAAAAAAAAAGAAAGTCATTCCAAAGAGCATCAGTATGTGCTATTCATTCAATATGAGCACATGTTTTAGATTTCTTCGACGAATTTCAGAAAATGTTTATGTTTCACCAGCCTCAGGCCAAGCGATTTTGATTGAATTTTTTTTACTTTTCCATTTCTTTTGCTTCTAGCGGATTCAACATACTTTGAATTATGATGTCGGCATTTTTATCACTTTCAATCCATTCAATAATTTTATTCTTTGAAAGCGTGATTAATGGACTGTTTTCAATGGTTGACTTTCAATTGAAATAAAACTCCCACTAACTGATTCTGGCATAAATTATAGTATTGTTAATTATACACAGTTATGCATATGGATATATACATTATGCATATGTTTATTTTTTGCTTGAAGAAGAAAACAAGAATAATATGTTCATATATTTCGCAGTAAGGATTAGTGTAAACCTATTCAATAACTGGTTAAAGTCCCAATGTTTCTTAATTTTATTGAAAAATCTCAGGGAAACTAGACTTGAAGAAATTTTCTCTTTATCATTAATTCAGAGTTATGCTATCAGACCTTTTAGAATTTCTGCTTTGGACGCAGTTTAACTTCACTATATGCCAATCGGATTTCTCATTTTTTTAATAATTCACATTCTACTTTGTGTGTGTGTGTGTATGAAGAGGGGAAGTGTGCACTACTGTGCACAAGCTAACTGTGCCTTTTTTTATTGAAACTTTGAGAAATCGTTGTTTTTCTTCTATGGTAATCACACAAACTTTTAATTTGCAGTTTGTATCATTTGAAACCATGGGAAATATCGACATACAACCAACGTTTATTTCTTTTTTTACTTACTTACAATTACAATTTTATATAGTGTTGGTGCGTACGAGTTTGTGATGGACTGAAAGCACACAGAACCGATGAGAACTTCATAAAATTTATATCCCTCTGCAAAAAAAAAAAAAAAAAAAAAAAAAAAATTACAGTTCTAGAAATTTCCACGAAACAGAGCTCTCCTACAGCTCTTCTCAGTATCACGAAACACAATCAGTAATTACACTTCAAACCACTAAGAACGTTAAACACAAACCATTGCATAATTTTGAAAAATTAATGATTTTTCTCTGATAAAGATAAGAAAAAGGGCTTCCAAATTAGTCTATTATTTTTCTTTTAATAGCAGTGTTATTTATTAATTTCAAAATTATTTATTTTGATTGAATTTAAAACTTTTTCTTCAGTTAAAACTATAAATATGTTATGTATTATTTTTTTAATAAAGCTACGATAAAAACCTACTGCAAAAGTTTCAATATAATGATTTAAAACAGTTACATTTTAGAGTTTGCCCTTTCTTTGTTAGCATAAACTAGTCTCGAAACTCCTTGTAGACTTGTAGAGAATTATTGCTAAGTCTAAAGATGCAACAAAGTCTTGAAAAGGTTAAAAATAAATTTTTTTTTATTAAATAAGAAATTTAACAGAAGGGTACGTCCCAATTTTGACAAACTCGGCGAGCACTTATGGCGATTTAACTTAAATTAGCAATCAATTTAATATTTAAATAAGTTTGTAGTCAAAGACTGCTCAGTTTTATTTAATGCGAAGTTGGCTCCCAAATCTAACCGGCGTAAGTATTCAAATATTCAGCAGCAATAATGCAAAGCCGAGTTCAATAGCCGAGGCTATCAGAACTGTTAGAAATGTTAGGCTGATAGCCGAGGCTATCAGAACTGTTAGAAATGTTAGCACGCAGACCGGTAGAAACATGTCCTGTCTTACAATCTAATAACCTCAGCTTAAATAATCAAATTAATTTGCATTCTGGTAAGGAATCAGAAAAAAGAGGTGACAGTAAAGATCTAAACCGTTAAATAACTGGCTATGCAAAGCAATAGCAAGCTTAGAACATTTATCTAATACAAAAAGTGGGAAAGTTAACTTGCTTTTAAATAAAGCGGCGCGCATTTACCTTCTTAGTCGGGTGTTTTTGTGGTTTTCCTCATCTGTAACGTGTATACGAGCCACTTTTCCTTAGAAGGCCTTCCATAAAGGCATTCCTTAGGCAAATAGCCGTCAAATGCTTTGCCGTAATCAAATCAAGACATTATCCTCTTACTCAAGGAATATATTAGGTACGACTCTGATAGTAGGGTCAGTCAGTCTTAATACTGAAATGCTCTTCCAAAATTTGGGTATACTTGGGATATGCGGAATTCAACCCATTTTTTAGAATTGTGTAGCTGAATATTAATCGTCCAATTCGTCTCTTTGGTTAACTGAGGAAGGATTCTTAGACAATGCTTTCTTCCTGTTTGGCAGAATGCCAGGCGAAGCAACGTTTGCAAACCTATCAAAGTATTTATAACGCGAATGGCACTTGACAGGCATTCGAAGTTCACATTATGTAACTAAACCTTATCTGATGTCTGTTTGACGGTGGAAAGTATTTTTGTTTCGTATATAGAACAAAAATGATACAGTGATAACGATGACGACGTTTGTTTTTAATTGGGTTATTTATAAAGTTGGTCTCGACTGAATTAGGAAAAGTAGCGTGTGAAACTTTTATTTTTGAGCGCAGGTTTCTTCTTGAATACTGTTCCATCGTAGAAGTCACATTTTACCATATCAAACAGTAATGGCGGAGCGTAGTGACGCCTCTGATGGCTTCATTTTTACTTGGACTATTGAGAACATCAGCATGTTTCTTTCTCCTAAATTTCCTTTGAGAAGACTTTCTGAATTAGGAATTGTACCATCTGAAACTTTACTTTCAAGCCCGAGTTTCGTCTTAAAATCTTTACCTCATATTGAATGGGATTTAAATTTACGTCCAAGTGATAACGTAAACAGTGAACACATAGACATTTGTCTCCGCCGAAATTCCTCGTCTCCTCGAGCATGTCGACTAATGTGGAAACTGAAATTATTAACCTGCAACGGAAATGTAATTGCAAAAACGAATTACCCTGAAGTGCATACATTTAGTCCCGGAATGAGAAAAGCTCTATCTTTCAAACTGAAATTTCAGGATATATTAAAAGAAAAGCTGTTGATAAAGTGCACTCTATGGCCAGGACGTGACAGAGATACCGAGGAGGTCATATCACGAGAAATCCTGAGCTTATACGAAAATGAGCTTTTTACCGATGCCGAACTGCACGCCAGAGGTGCTGTTTTCAAAACTCATAAAGCGATTTTATATGCAAGGTGGCCGAAGCTGGCAGAAAAATTAAGTGGCCATCCGATTTCCAAATGTGTTTTAGACGTTGAACCATCTGTGTTAGAAGCAATGGTGAAATACGTTTATTCTGGGAAACTTGAGCCTCTCAGTTACGAATTATCATCTAAACTGCATGCAGCCGCCGTTGAATACGGATTCGCCCAATTGAAATCTAAGCAGTGCTCACCCGTTTGCAAATGGAAAGCTCGAACTAGTGCTAAGGAACAGAAAATATCTTTTCAATGGTGTATCCAGGAATTTTCCAGTTTAACAGCGAATGCATCACTTTACAGTGATGTATTTCCTGATAATATCCTTAGTGGCTGTGAATGGCAGTTGAGCTTATGTATGATAAGCACGTCTGCCGTAGATCAGACATTCAAGATTTCTCTGCGGAAAGTGAATCGTGGTGATTCTAGACCTATTTTTGTAAAATGTAATATAAATGTCTCGACATGCCAGGAGACTTTTCAAACCACAGAATTCTTTCTGCGAGATGAAATTCATGAGTGTGCCATCGTAACTACAAATCCCCTTTCCGATTTAGAACTAAAGTGTAAGTTTCATTTTAGTGATTTCAGCACGTTTTCAGAGGTAACTTATATTCGTTGTAATTTGTCATCTAACAGGAATTCTATTTGCCCTTATTTGAGTAGTGATTTAAGAAACCTTTTCAAAGATGAAACAGAGACTGATATTCAATTAATTTCAGATTCCACGACGCATAGGGTTCACAAAGCTATTCTTTGTGCTCGTTCGCCATTTTTCTACAGAATGTTTCAAAGCGAATCAGCCGAAACTAGCATCACCATTTCTGATATGAACGCCATCACAACGCTTACCTTACTTATATTTTTGTACTCTGGGGATTTAGCAGAATACACAGACGATTATATCGCTAAGCAAGTTTACGATGCAGCTACTAAATATGAAATGTCTACACTGAAAACAAAGTGTATATCTTATCTGCATTCGAATATGACAAAAGAAAACGTCAGTGGCATTCTTCTTTTTGCCGATGAAAAGAATGAAACAGAATTGTACCAAAATGCGCTAAAGTTTCTTGATTCTTGTAATGATGAGGTTTTTACAACAAATGGATGGAAGCTCTTATTCGAATATAATCCACACCTAGCAGCAAAGTGCTTGCAGGAATTACTGATGATGCGAAAAAGTTGCAAACGTTAGGTTAATAATGAATTTTGTTTGTTGAAATTTATATTTAAGTCTTCATTTTTTTGCATGCTTTTGAACTATTCTTTAAAGTATTGCACAAATTTCTCGAAAAAGTTTAGATTTCAATTGGAAACTGTGGAAGGTAGCAAAATTAGAGGATTTTTATGCTGCATTTTATAATATTGGTATTTATGGATTATTTTAATTTCTTTTTGTCTTAAATCTTTTCTGCACATCTGCTCTCCGTCATTTCCACCAGAAATGTAAATTAAAGTACGTTTAAATTAAGAACGGCAACTAAATTATTTGAGAGAGTATTGGCAAATGAAGCCAAGAGTGCTAAGCTTGTTTGTCAATGAGTTTAGCTTTCATTTGAAGTTACGTTTGAAAGCGCAGCTCCAATGAGCAAATGAATTTCATCCGAATTATTTTGATATAAACAAGATTTATCATTTATAGCACTTATTAAAATATCAAAATCTTTTAATTGTTTTAGCAATGCGAATCAATCAACTTAGGAGTAGAATCACAATTAGTTTTTCGTCTAAAACTTCTAAATCACAATTAAAGCTTCCATCCATATTTGTGAGTTTAACGGGATATTTTTGGTGCTTTTCTGTATGTATATTTCCTGCGATTAAACCATGGTTTACAGCTATTTCTCCTAATTTTTTTATTTTCAACTTTTTAGCACCAAATTTAGACACATAACTTTTTTGGATACCCAAGTCTATAATTATTCTTATAAGATATTTTAGATTGTTTTCCGTAATATACACTATCAAGGTTTGAAGAGAGAAGAAGTGTTCTTTCGAACAATAACTGCTCGAAAGAACACTTTTTTTATCTCATTCAGTATTATCACTAAACTGTTTTTTGTTTGAGTAACACATTATTTCTAAATGCCTTTTTCCACAAATGCCTGACACACTTTCGATAAACAATGAGGAGATATATGACTAGTTTAAGGAGACCAGATATTAACATTGGAAAAGAGGGAGAACATAGCCGGGGGGTGATTAAACATTTAGTCTCCACAGAGGAACACAAATTTTCATAGAGCGAAAAATAGTATTGTAATATATTTTCAAAATTTCAACACAAGTACAATTTACAAATACATTAAAAAAAATTATGTATAGTATTATTTTATTCTTTGGCATATTTCTAGTCTGAGTAAATTTTGTTTAGTAGATTGCTGTCGTTGTTTGAAAGGTCATAAAATTTTTCACAAGAATTTGTTAAATTATATTTCACACATAAAATGGCTTTCAAAGTCTCAACACTTAATTGTGATTTTTCTGATGTCCGCACTTTATCTACCGTAGAAAAAAAAGCGCTCAGACACAGCATTAGTTCCTAGGGTATTCCACAGTTTTCAGTGCATTTTTGTATGGAACATGGTTTGTTTCAAAATGATGAAATATTTCTAACCATTTGTTTTCTATTGTGAACGCTGATGTACAAGATTTAACCTTTTCCTTATCAATATATTTTTAATAATGATGTTTAATTAAAATATTATTATCAGAAATATTACTATACAGGAAATTTTGAGTAATATGATCGAATGATGTTTTGCACATTCCAATTAAGTTCTTGTTTTAATATATATTCCCTAGCTTATCGTGCATTCTTCCTAAAAATCGAGACTTTTTTTAAAAAGCCGCGGGACGCGGGACAAACTGTTAAAACTCGGGACTGTTCCGCCAAACGCGGGACGTCTGGTCACCTTATTTTCGATCCGTTTTTAATTAGTAGTGATTTCTTATTTTCATATGGTAAACCCTTTTCATGTAAACAATCTTTCTTTCCCACATAAAGTGCAGAATCTAGATTTCAAGGCCAAACTGCTCGTTAATAACTCAGAAGCTGTCACGGGACGCAACTTTTCGTTTTGCTCTTCTCAACGTGCGCCAGTCGGTTTAGAATTTAAATATACTTGGGTACTAATGTACTGGAGAGTTAAGAAAGTGCAACTCCGTTTTCTCTTTAGCCATTAACGGTTTGTGCAAAAAGCCAATTAAATCATTAATAGAATACTCATCTCCTAATTCTTTATTAAACCATTCGGTAATGCCTTTAAAATTACAGGAGATACTAATGTCCTTAAGGTTACCTAATGACTCTAAGCTTCTAATATTAACCCTCAAACACAGAAGTGGAGTCTATATGACCACGCCAATATTTTAGAACTGTGAAACTGCTTATAAGTTACTTAGCTTTTCTTCCCCTTTTCAGTACTTTCAAGTTGACATAAAATATAACTATTCCTAAATTTTTATTAAACTCTATCCATGTGCATTCAGAGAGTGCTAGCAGTTTCCAACGGAATCTATTCTATCTCTGTAACTGATACCTCTAAAAATCATAAAGCATGCTTTTTTGTCCTTCCTAGACTGAGAAGAGAAACTACCTATCTATGTTTCAGCTTCAAGAATCCGATAAGTAATGAATGTGCCAAGAGAATTTGCGAAAATTGTGTTGAAAATGCTTAAAATAATGTGCTGCAGTTTTTTAATATTCATTACATATTATACTTTTTTGTATTATATTATATAATCCAGATTCTGTAGATGAAAAATTTATTAAATAGCTTAGTTTAGGCGCATTTGCAAGTAAGTAGAGTTTATTTTATTTATTTGATTGTTTAGTACTTTTTCGTATGTGATTTAAAAATTAAATTTTAGAGTTTTAAAAAGAATTAATTACTTCAGTATAACAAGCAAAGTGTAGCAATGCTTATATAATAACAATAGTGCATTACTTAAAAAAAATTTTTTTAAAGTGCATAAACTAGAGCGCGGTCTGGGAGATCCCTCGTTTTGTTTTTACGTAACAGAAACTAACGTCTGTACTTAAGGGGTTAATCTGAATCTTATCAAATAATTTCCGAAAATGCACTACGTCACTAGAACATTTAAATATGCGTATTTCTAGTAACTGGTTCATGTGGGTGTTTATCAAAACTGCTTTTCTTCCGAATCTTTGTTCAAACAAATCTCGGAATTCTTAAAATCGCCCCATTTTTATCAGTGAATGCACAATCATATCTTCGCGAAAATTGTACTTTTTTCATTGTAAGCGATAAAATGTTTCATATAATGTCACCATATTAATTCAAATAAATTCGTCCTTACTTCAAAAATAATAAGTAAAGTCATATTTCAGTAGTGAAATAATTGCTAACGTGATTTGCATTGATTTCGAAAATATGCTTTTTTAAAGTAAATGCACAACTTAATAACTTACTTATAGATTAGTTTTCATTTTTAAATATTTTATTATAATATTTATAAAATATTTTAAGTATTAATTATTTTAACAAAATTTTAAACAATTATTTAGCACGTATTTTTAGTACTAATTAAATTTAATCAATCAAAAGTATTTATAGTTCATTAGATGAATCTACCTTAGATTAATATACGAGTATTTAGATGAAATAAAGTAATGAAACATTGCAAATTAAACCTTTATACGGACTTCAGATTCTTGAAAGGGCATATTTAGTCTCGTTTCATTCTAAAAGTAACGCTGTTGAACTATGAAAAAAATGCTAAAACGACCACGTCTAAAAGCGGTCATATCATGACGTTTCAGCGACGCCGAAAAACTGCCAAGATGCAACGGCAAATATTTTTGCGTCTTCGCAACGTTGTAAAGACGCCGTAAAAGTTACCACAACCACTTAGCAACCTCTCGGACCAGTTTGCAATGTCGTGTGCTACTTGGGTTCTGAAAGGATTGCGATGCAGTCTCGTTCTGATTCAACTATTAAGGCTGACTAGTCTGGATTGCAACATATGATTATGGCGCGGGGCGGATGTTCTATGTCTGTTCGCTGGAAAACAGTCCTTTGTAATGGAAACCCAACAACCTGTCCGTTCTAAAATAAGGCTCTTGGCAAAATATATAATCTATTTTATTTTCTACTGCAAAAGCTGTTGTTTGAGTAGTAGCGGCTTGTGCATGTTGTAAATTGATTTGCAAGCAGTTTATTGGTTGTTGCGCTGTTTTTTGCATAAGTTTAATTTTTCCATTGTTTGAATCATTATTGTTGCTTTGACTATCATTATTGGATGCTTCGATTGGCCTGTGAATATTCATATTTGTTCCGCGTATTCTATACTGCTCGTTGGTAGACCGGACAATCGGAATGGTAGGCTGGGTGTTGGTAGTTAAATCTTGTTCCAAATTGGTTATTGGAGTCCCCACAGTTAATGCATTCGGCAGATTTTCTTGGCATTCTCGGACATTATGATTTCCTGCGCAGAAGGCGCAGAAGCTGTTTTTGGTCTTGCAGATGTTGAGATGTTGCAGTTGTTGTTTTGTACGAGTTGCTGACAACGATTTCATCGCTTGATACCCAAGAATTCGGAGATATTATGAGGTTGCAATCCAGTGTAAATTCTGCGAAGTTTGAGTGCTGATGCGGGGTAGTGGTTTAAAAGAAATATCAATATTCTGTGTTGCTTCGGACGTTGTGGGCTGCTCACTGGTAGATTGGACAGTCCGGGTGATACGCCGAGTGTTGAGAGTTGTAGCGTGTATCTAAATGGTTTTTGGTTTCTTCACAGTTGATGCAGACTGGTGTTGCTGCATCGCATTCGCTAACTCTATGGGGTCCAGAGCAGAAGGCACAGAACATCGGTTTACTTCTACAAGTGTCATGGGGATGTCCAAATTGTGTTGGCAATGATAATATCTTTATTCCCAGGAACTCCGTGATATTATGCGCTTGCCAAGCTGTGAACATTCTTCTGACTTTGAGTGCAGCCGCAAAGCTGGTTGAGGTTCCCTCTAAAATCCACTTGACCTTATTAGGGCGTCGCTCTTTAAGTTTATACAGTGGCTTATAGGAGTTAGCTGAAATTCCTGCCGTGGCGCTAAGCTCTGCGATGAGCTCCTCCGGTTTGATTTGTTCGGGGACGTTATGTGTTGCACATCTTGGAAGTTGGTTTTGCCGTTGTTTGACATCTGCATGCACTGCGACCTTCTGTATATGTTCCTGGAGTTTGCTGACTTCTTTTTTGGTATTACAAAAGACCTCTAGACCACCCTGTGGATCAGGCTGAAATCTATTCACGACCACTGGAATTTTCCCAAGTTGAACCTTTTCTTGCAATCGCTTGGTCGTGTTTTATCCTTTGGATAGATAAGCAGACTAGGTTTATTTATGCCTGGTATGACGTCTGCAAAGGTTTGTGATTGTTGAGGTAATAACGGTGGACGAGATCAGTTATAGCAGTGTTAACCAAAGAGGACCTTTCGTCTATGTTAATTGTTGCGTTATTGGCAGGAGTTTATTCAGTATTGACTTCACTGTCTATAACATCCGGTCTTGGAATTTGTTCAGTGTTGACAGCACTGTCAGTAACTTTCGATCTATAGAGGTGTTCTTATCAGTTTTATAAGAAGATGTATGAAGTTTTGCCATAGTGCATATAGTAATTTAACAGTCACAAAAAGCTATACCAAAAATACTAGGTTAATCCAAAAGAAAACGCTGGTAGACTATTCTCAAAAGATGGTACAGCAATGGCATATGATGTTAGAGTAACAGATGATAACCTGTAAAACAAGCTTCCCATACTAACACTGTCCTTGCAGTGAATTTGCATTACAGGCAGACAAAGAAAACACTAAAGAACATTAAAGCATTTGAGTCTAATAATCCAGTACAGTTATGGTTATGCAGAAAAGAACCGGAAAATAGTGTTTAAAAATTTTTAAAAATTTTAATTTGAATTTTTACAAGTTATTCCACAAATCTTCCTTTACTGACGTTTTACATATATAGAAAAAAAAACCTAAACTGTAGCATAATTCTTTTGTATATGAGCATTTGGGATTAGTCTATTGAGTTAACATTAAGGGAACCAACATGTATCAAAATATTAAATACAATGAAAAATAAGACGGATGCAATTAAATCAAGTAGTACGAAATATTAATAAACAAGAGCACAGAAATTTAAAATTGAACATACTAAGAATCATACGAATACATAATGGCACTCAAATATCATTGAAAGACTTGCTTATTACTAGGCGCTATTGAACTGTGTATAACCTCGACCTTCCTCAAGGACGAGTTGTTGTTGCGTGCAAAATGCCAATATGTCTGACGCAAATTGTTAGTAAGCAAGAGGCAAAGTTACGCAAAATTTATAAATAAATCTACGATTGATATAACAAGAGCCGTTTAATATAACAGAATAATACACAGTTCAATAGACAGAACAAAATTTGCCTACCTTGACCGTTATGCGTGCAGATCACTAAGACGTGATAATCCAGAGATAATATTTTTTTATAACTTAACCACTATTTTCTGGACTTAAAAAATTTTCGATGTACTAATATACACTTATATAACACAGCACAATGTTGAAACACGTGAAGGACGCTGTCATAATCTACATAAAGCACAAATCACAAAAGCACTAACAACTGAAGAACCATTGCACGCACACTTTAAAAACAAAAATTAGAATACTGTGACGAAACTTTCGCTAATTATCGCTGTCAACTGCGGAGCTCCAAATCACACGTCTTCCCTCTGTCAACAGCAATCTTCGCCCTGTTACAAAATAATAACATTATTTAACTATACAGAAAAAAATTATAAGTACAGAATTCTATCAAAATACAAAATAATAATAATAATAATAAATAAATATCAAAATTCTTACAAAATTATCAATGGCGGCAAAACAAATTTTCACAAGAAGAAACATCAAATGAATTCATTGTTTTTATGTACTGCAGTTTGAAGCAAAGTGCTTAATCTTTACAAGCAAATATTTAGTAACTGTCTTTCCATAGAGTTATAGATAGTCCATAGTGTTAGTTATAGTTCATAGAGTTAGTTTTACAATGCTTTTCAGCTAATGCTGAAGCTTTACGACGCTTTTGTCTATCAGTTATCCTATTATAGTTAATCATCTGCAAATAAAATACATATATATGTATGTATAATCCTTTTTTAAAATTCATCTACATATTTAAGTATCCAATACATGGCAACAAAGCAATTATAATGAGGTTTTTCTAGACTAACAACATAACAATCTACAGTAGGTTAATTCCTTTAACTAATAATTTTTTTGTTACCATAAGGGCAAAAAATGCAAAAATAACTTTAGATGAAATGGACTATATATTTTTTTAAATATTTTCTACACATCTTGAAATACTTCGAGAGAAAATTTCATTTAAAAACTCGCGAGAAAAGCTTCTGAATATGATCGAATTTTCGATGAAATACTTGCATGCTTTTCAAGATTATGTTATTTAGTTATCCATGTGTGTAAAATATGGCAATAATCATAAAAAAGTATAATTCTATCCATATGAGTAAAATATGGCAATGATCATAAAAAGGTGTAATTCTATCCATATTTATAAAATATGGCAATAATCATAAAAAGTATAATTCTATCTATATGTGTAAAATATGGCAATGATCATAAAAAGGTATAATTCTAAAAAATTTGGATTGTTCAAATTTTGAGATTTTAGTTTTTATTCGGATATTCTTATAGCGTATTTAAACATGGTTTTCTATGAAAATTAAAGGAAATATAACGTTATTTAAAAAATACTGATAAAAATATACTTCGGGTGTGAAGAGTACAGAAAGCTCTCCTAATAATTTCGAAAGCGAATTAGAGTTGAATTAACTTCAGATTGTAAAGCTCGTTTTGAATCAAATAAAGAAATTGAAAATTATGATTAAATTAAAAATATAAAAAATAGGCTGTTATTCAGAAATCTCAGTTTAGTGAGAACTGTTTTACTGGAGAACTTTCTAAGCGAATATTACACAGAGATAAATCATGAAAAAAATATATGCAGCCTTAACAATAACATTGAGATTTAAACTGGGGACGAAATATCGATGATTTAAGATTTCATTCATTTGTCTAGTTAAAAGCTACAAACATTAATGGTCAAGAAAAGCATCATCTTTTCCCTGTTGATTGATATGCAATACCAAGTTACCTGGAAGATTCTTAACAAAATATTAAATAAGCTATTATTATCCAAATCTATCACAAAGCGACAAAATGGGAAAAGTATATAGCATGCAACAATATTTATTTCAGAATTTTAATTCAACGTTACTTCTAATTATATATTATTCGTTAGGTGGCCTTAATTATTTTTAATACTTTAAACTATATTTTTTAAATAACCTAAATTACAAGTTACGATTATTTGATATTTTATCATTTTATTTCTTAATCATTTAGTATGTAAGTGAGAGTAATTATGAAAACAGTGATTATTATAAATATGTAACAATAATAATAGCTTTTAAGTTTATAGAACTCAATGAGACATAAATGAAAGTAAAGCTAAATGTGTGAGGGGGAAGAGCGTTTTTTGATTATAACAGCAATATCGCATTCCTTTCTGTTAAAACTCAGAGACAGCCTTGCAAAATAGCCATATCATTTCAAAGATATTAAATTATTATTGTAAAAGCTTCTTTACCACATATTGTGAACATAAGTAAACTTTTTTCCTTTTAATTTCAAAAATAACGATATCAATCAAAACACATACAGTAATAAAACTATAACAATATAACATAAAATGATTAATTATGCACCATAAATAAAAGACTAATAAAAATTTTCTAATTTTCAATTTTGGGCTAAAAAAATAGAGTAGCCTGAGACTATTCCAAAACTATATAATTTATCTCTGTTTACAAATTCTAAGATCGAAATCTTTTATCAAAAAATGTAAACAGCACTAGCAAGCCCACAAGTTGAGAAGGGACAGATGTCTGGTGTGGCAACAATAAAACCATATCAGCTGGTAAAAAGCATGTTCATAAACATTCTTTGTTAGAACCTGTTTTATTAGCTGAGAAGAAGTTTTTAGATGTCTCTCTGACCAATAAAATACTTGCATGCTTTTCAAGATTATGTTATTTAGTTATCCATGTGTGTAAAATATGGCAATAATCATAAAAAAGTATAATTCTATCCATATGAGTAAAATATGGCAATGATCATAAAAAGGTGTAATTCTATCCATATGTTATAAAATATGGCAATAATCATAAAAAAGTATAATTCTATCTATATGTGTAAAATATGGCAATGATCATAAAAAGGTATAATTCTAAAAAATTTGGATTGTTCAAATTTTGAGATTTTAGTTTTTATTCGGATATTCTTATAGCGTATTTAAACATGGTTTTCTATGAAAATTAAAGGAAATATAACGTTATTTAAAAAATACTGATAAAAATATACTTCGGGTGTGAAGAGTACAGAAAGCTCTCCTAATAATTTCGAAAGCGAATTAGAGTTGAATTAACTTCAGATTGTAAAGCTCGTTTTGAATCAAACTGCATGTATGGAAGAAGTCAAAAACCCACCGCTCAACTGGTATAGTGGTGACTGCCGTGCCAAAGGGCCGGGGTTCGAATCTCGGAGAAGGCATTGATGTTTGTAAATGTATAGTGTCCGTGCGGCATAGAACCACCCGAAATATGCGGCGAGCCGAAAGTCCTCTAGATAGGTGGAAGTTAGGGGAAGAAGGGTGAGACCTTCGTACTCGTCCCCCTGGAGTACTCTCCATCAGAATTGGGGCGGAACTGAGCTAAATCGCACTGTCACCTGTAAGTGCTCAAGGCTGTTGCCAACGAGAGGTGCTTATTGTGATGCTATACGTCCGACAAGTAAACAACAACTCAAAACCCGAATGAAAGTTTGCATCTGGATACGCATACCAAAACTATTTTTGTGAGTGTGATCACATTAAAATTAGGTTTATTGGATGCGGTAATATGGTGTACAAAGCCACAATAAATAATGGAATTATTGTGAATACAACCAGGGCTTTATACGGTAAAGGTTTTGCGAAAATAGATTGCGATAGAATTCGTGAGGCCCATCTCGCTTACCAAGAGTTTGCGATAGAATTTGACCATCTCGCTTACCAAAAGCTTTCTAAAATGGCCGCAAAGAAACATAAGTTAATAAAAAAAAAAAAAAAAAAACTAGATTCAGAAATGCCAGTTCAAGATGATTATGGTGCAGGAAAATGTTAAAATGATTTTTTTATATAAATTATTAGTGTTTAAATTGTTTTTTTTTTTTTTTTTTTTTTTTTTTTCGGTACACTTTTTTTGAATTCAGCTTAGAAGGTTTGAACTTTCCACAGCTAGGTATCTTAACTATTTCTTTGAAACTACGCAAGATATAAAATTTATAATCATTAGTTTGGGATATATTAAAAATTTAATACCATTTTTTGGTATGATTTTCAAAATATTTTACTAATTTATTTTTGATATTTTTCTTTTTAAGTAAAATGTAAAATATTGCTTATTATTCTTAAATGGTGTGTTTTTAACCATCATGCAAAATTTGAAGGAGTTTGATGCAGTATTTTTTTTTAATGTACCAAACTAGCACACTCACAAAAGATTCGTCAAAGGTAAGAGAAATTAAACAACTGGTTTATAAAAACATTAAACTTTAAATTTACATTTTATGTGTTTTATATAATCTGCAAGATGTCTATTTTAAATGAAAAAAAAATTTAGAGTATACGCTTATTTTGAGAAAAGTTATACCGTAATAACATTTGTCCCGAAATAATTGAATTTCGCCAGTCGATATGTCACATATCCCCTTAAATTAAGGTGACCAGACATCCCTCTTTTGGCGGGACAATCCCGAACAGTTTGTCCCGCGTCCCGCGGCGTTTTAAAAATGTCCCGATTTTTGGGAAGAATGCCCGACAAGCTAGGGAATGGCGAGAGAACGGATAGAAATATAACGGGTATTTCGCCAGGATATGAGTTATATTATTTTTATTAAATTTATAATGTCAAACTTTAATAATAACAATTTATTGTTGAAAACTAATTATCGAGAACTGCTTAACAAAGTTTGCATTCTTGATCAGTTATTATAATTCACCACCATTATTTATTGGATTTAAAGAACAATGGCATTTCATTGGCATTGCCAACGACAAAAACATTTTGTAACTGTCTCTCATACGGTACACATCGTACTGCGTGCTAGTGCTAGTTAAACAAGTGATGCGAACAAATCAGCTATTCAGATAATTAGGTAACTTACTTATTTAGTTCATAAATACATAAATTTCCATATATTTAGCAGACAGTACTCGTATTATTTATGTTTTACAGTGGTGGCAAAAAGTCTATAGCGCCGGTCTTGGAAGTGACACTTATGTTACGGCTAGAAAGAAATATAGGATTAAAATTTAAATAATTTTTAAAATACAGTTACTTTATGACAATGAAATTAATTTAATTTATAGATTAACAATAAAATATGTTCATGTAAGTATGTACCTACTTACTGTGTTTTTAAGCTATATGTATATAAAAATTCATAATATCATTAAAAAAATTTTTTTAGATTTTTAACATAATCAATAAGAAAAGAGGATGAAAATTCAACGATGATTTAAGAAGTGAATTTCCTTTCATTAAAAAAAAGCTGTCGAAAGAATTCTGAAAGTATACGATCTTTTGAAATCCTACTTTCTATCACAGGATAAATATCCTAGAATTTTAGAAGAGTTTTCCGAAAAAGAATCTTCTAAAATTTTGCTAGAATTTTTACACAATCAAGCAACTCTTTTTCAAAATGCTATAAAACATATTGTAGGTGACAAAATTTTGGTAATCGAAGTAACAAATAAAGTTAATAATTAAAATTTAAATGTCAAGAACGGTTAGAAAATAATTTTCTTCCGTTAACTTTCCATAATATTATAAGCCAGCTGGAAGAACTATGTGCAATAAATCGTGCATATATCATGAATCACGTTAATTAGTTCTATAGTAACTGCCTATATTATTTAGAAGAGTGGATGGTGCATTACAATGATATTGAACATATTCATGTATATATAAAAATTCTACATACACGCTACAATTAACATAAACAATTATTTATATTAATTGTACCGGTTGTGTAAATGCACAAACTCCATCTCAAAGTTAGAGCAATGTTTTAAAAAATAAAAGTTATCAATGAAAATTTTGACGAAAAATTGTTTAATAGAGCATTTCATTGTGAAATATTTAAGTTCCAGAAAATTAAAATAGGAAATAATTTAGTTCTTTAGAGTCACCTGAAACGTTCATGACAGTATCAATTTAATATTTTGAGATTTTTTTGTTTTACTTGCTTATTAATGTAAATTCAACAATTAATAATTATGGCGGAAGCATTTTATTTTAGTTTACATTTTGATAAATTAATTGTAGAACTTATAAACATAATTTGCCAATACCATTGTTTAGATAAAAATATTTTAAATTTCATTTTCTTTTTCTCTAATTAATTCGACGTAAGTAATTATCTCCTTAATCTATATTCAAAATTATTATAACATCTAATAGTATAACTTCAGGAAAAAAGAATACTTAACAACCGTCTGAGGTTCGTTAACGGCATTTCCCTTCCAACATTTAATCGCTCATCATTAACACGATATCACAATCAGTGCAAAGCTTACAGAGTAAATGAAACAACATAATTTATCAAAATAACATCATTTTAAGTAAAACCTATTTGATTGTACAAACGGTACTTACTTCTGCTAACACACAAGAGCAATAAACTGGATCTTACAAAATTTGAATTTGAAATTGGTTTTATTATCGATTTCATATTTTGTAACATAATTTTTGATTAAAAAACTGAACGATTCAAAGCGAGCAATGGCAACACTGTACGAAAAAAAAAAAAAAAAAACAAGCATTTTTATCTTCAGTGCGCGAGACTCTGTATCGGAAATTCTAAAGATAGGCTCATTTTAAAATTCTTTTGCGATATTGCTGTTGAATTGAATTTTATGGTTTGAGTATGTAGGACATGATATTTAATAAATATAAAGGTAACCAACAAAACGTTAAAAAAACGGTCCTTTGGGCATCTAAAAGCTTTTAGAATTTTTTTTTTTTTTTTTTTTTTTTTTTTTTTTTGTTTAAAGGAGCGATAGCCCAGAAGAGCTATTAGTTTCAAAACAGCATTTTACGTTGTTTCACTGTAAACGTCCATTTCACTTTCCAGATTTTACTATCAAATATTATTATGGTATTAATTATAATTGACTTTACCCCTGATATAACACCCGTAGACCAGTTAACTTTTATATTGCGTTATGTAACAGAAGATGGAATCTCAATCGAGAGGATTTTTGGATTTTTACCAATTTATTCGCACCTAGGAAAATCATTAGAAAAAAGAAATTTTAAAAACCTTGAAATATTAGATCCGGATATGTGCAACTGTAGAGGACAAAACTACGACTATGTGCGAGATATTTCTGGAAAATACAATGGGCTCCAAAACCACATTAAAAAACATAGTCAAACAGCTCATTACGTTCCATGTGCTTCACATTCGTTAAATCTCATAGTAAGTAGTGCTAATGAATCATGTTTGCAAGCAATAATATATTTTAATCTTTTGGAGAACGTTTATACACTTTTTTCAAAGTCTACTCATAGGTGGAACACTTTAGAAAAAAGGTTTGCAGCAAATAAACATTTTACAGTAAAAAAAATTATGTACAGTAAAAAACAGTTTTACAATAAAACAGTTGTACAGTAAAAAAATAGATGATAGAGCTGATGCAGTTAAAGCAATTCGCTTTGGGTTCAAAGAAATAAAAAATGCTCTATTTGATATAGCTTTATATGAATCGCAGAAATGTTCTGTAAAACTGGAGTTCCGAGAAATATCAGTTAAGATTAAACATTTAGAATTCACTTTATTAACAGTTATTTTGGATAAAATTCTTTGCAGAATTAATGCAAGCAGTATATACGTACAAGACCTACTATATCAATATCGTTTGCGGCAAGTATTTTTGACAATTAATTTAATTACGTTAATAGTGCCGCCCAACCGGTCCCGGGTTCGAATCCCGGAGAAGACATGGATTTTTGTAAATGTATAGTGTGGCATGGCGGCACTCTATATATGCGGCAAGCCGAGAGTCCTCCCGTTTGGTTTGATGGAAGGAAAGAGACCCTCGGACACGTCTTTCCCCTTCCCCGAGGTGCGGAAATAAAGCGGATGCATCAAACGCGTCACAAATAAAAACTTAGTTCGATACTTATAAAAGGTCGCGAAGACGGAAAGAATTTTTTGATACAGTTCATCAAGATGAGGACGACAAAAGTTTATGTAGTCAGGGTCAAGAAGCGAAATTACTTTTACTTAATATGTGAGAAAATATCTTTTCAAGTAAAACTACGTAACAAAAGTTACAAAGATATTAGTGAGATTTCTAAAATATTTCATCCAAACTCAAATGACAATGTATCAGTTGAATCTGTAGCTACCATATTACTTAAAAATGGTACAGTGAAGACACTGATACAAAAGAATTAGATGAGGAACTGTTACAATTTATATTACTTTTATAAAAGTTAAAATTTAACGCTGCCATTTCACATGCTACGATTTATAGAGACTATAAAAATTCTATCAACGTTTCCAAATATGAAAATCATATTACGTATATTTTTAAGTTATAGAATGCATCTGATGAAAAATTGCTTTCGGTATCGATAAAAAAACTATATACGAAATTCATCAAGTCAAACAAAATTAACTTTGTTAGCTGTACTATACATAGAAAAAAACGCGTCGGACAACATTAATTACGAAGAAATAATTGATAAATTTGCAGAATTGAAAACCAGAAAAAAGGATTTTTTAATTAAATTTCATAATCATTTTTTTCAAAACTATGCTTTGAATATTTAACAGAAATTTCACATATGAACATATTTCACATTAATTTCTCACATACGAACAAAACGTTCCAATTCTATTGATTATATTGATACATAATCAAACGCATGTTTATAATTATACTAATAATGGAAACTGTATAAAGGATTTTTTAAAAAATGACTATGTTTGTTAATTATTCTTATATACCTGTCATTTATTATTTTGTTAGAAAATTCTCGTAAAACTTACGTAACAGCCCTGGTGTAGCCCCCCCGGCAGGAAAAAATGAACAGCTGATGAAACATATTGCTCTTGAAGCCTTCTACCAGTATGACCTGAATTTTTTCCTCTGCAATGATTCTATTGGCTGACCGCAAACTTCGCTCGTCTCTGTTTGGGATCTTTCAACTTTCACTTTAAACTGCCTTTCAAGTTTCACATTCAACAAAACAACATTCACTTTACGAACCTTTCGTATGGATGACTTTTCGCATGCGACGTGTGTTTCGTTCTACGTCGCTAGCGTAGTCGTGTCAAAGCACATCTATATATACAAAGTTTCCATAGACGTAATGTAACAGTTTGGTATTAAGGGCCTTTACTACTGGGATGTTTTTTATCTAACGGACTTAGCTGATCCATCTCCAAAACCAGGTTTTCATCATAGGGCAGCAAGTTGAAAATCTAAACTGCAGGCATAACGGAGCTAGTCGACACATGAAACTGACTCCATTAGCTCAGACCCCAGTGGGAACAGCCGTTTTCTCCGTTAGAAAACGGAGGGGAAAATCGCTAAGAGATTTCGAGTCGGAGCCCGGCGAACGAGAATTTTCGCGTTTAGTAGATGACCTCAGATAAACTCCAGTGGGAACGGCCGTTTTCTCCGCTGGAAAGCGGAGGGGAAAATCGCTAAGAGAGATTTCGCGTCGGAGCCTGGTGGACGAGAAATTTCGCCTTTAGTAGTGACCTGCTTTCCTCAATGACGGATGCGCTCGCTCCACCGCTGCTGTAACTCCACCTACTAACTCTCCGTAAAGTCGAATTGAATATTTCGCCTTAGCATCTATTTGCAGCTAAATTATACAATTAATATATCAAATTATACCGGAAAAGTTTTCGTTCTTAACGATACATTTTCTTCCGTCGTGTGGACGCAATTTTAGACGATGCTTTCTTTCTTTTTTGGCATAGTGCCAGATGTTTCATCATCCAAGTATAGTCGCATGGTTTCAGCAAGCTCATAAACATTGGCTTGGATTTCTCACGTGATCTAAGCCCGTCATTATGACAGAGAACTCTTTCACGGTCGAAACTATTTCCTCAGTTCGGGCAGTAATGATTGCGATGACAGCAATGATGAAAGCAATGATTTACTTTTTACTGGATTATTTACTGAGAATATTAATATACTCCTTGCTCTCAAGTTTCCTCTAAAACGACTGAATTAGGAATCGTAGCGTGTGAAATTTTATTTTCCATCGAAGGTTTTATCTTGAATACTGTTCCTTCGTAGAAGTCATATTTTATCCCTTCAAACAAAATGGAGGAGCGTAGTGACGCCTCTGATGGCTTCATTTTTACTTGGACTATTCAGAACATCAGCATGTTTTTTTCTCCTAAATTTCCTTTGGGAAGACTTTCTGAATTAGGAATTAGGCCATCTCACACTTTACTTTCAAGCCCAAGTTTCATTTTGAATTGCATACCCCACATTCAGTGGGACTTAAATTTACAACCAAGTCATAACATAAACAGCGAACATATAAACATTTATCTCCGCCGAAATTCCTCATCTCCTCGAGCATGTGTAATAAAGTTTCAACTGGAATTATTGACCTGCAACAGAAATGTGATTGCAAGAATGAATTACCCTGAAGTGCATACATTTAAGCCTGGAATGAGAAAAGCTCTATCTTTCAAACTAAAATTTCAGGATATATTAAAAGAAAAGCTGTTGATAAAGTGCACTCTATGGCCAGTGCGTGACAGAGATACCGAGGAGGTCATATCACGAGAAATCCTGAGCTTATACGAAAATGAGCTTTTTACCGATGCCGAACTGCACGCCAGAGGTGCTGTTTTCAAAATTCATAAAGCGATTTTATATGCAAGGTGGCCGAAGCTGGCAGAAAAATTAAGAGGCCATCCGATTTCCAAATGTGTTTTAGACGTTGAACCATCTGTGTTAGAAGCAATGGTGAAATACGTTTATTCTGGGAAACTTGAGCCTCTCAGTTATGAATTATCATCTAAACTGCATGCAGCCGCCGTTGAATACGGATTCGCCCAATTGAAATCTAAGCAGTGCTCGCCAGTTTGCAAATGGAAAGCTGGAACTAGTGCTAAAGAACAGAAAATATCTTTTCAATGGCGTATCCAGGAACTTTCCAGCGTAACAGCTAATGCATCAATTTACAGTGATGTATTTCCTGATAATATCCTTAGCGGCTGTGAATGGCAGTTGCGCTTATGTTTGATAAACACTTCTGCCGTAGATTATACATTCAAAATTTCTCTCCAGAAAGTGAGTTGTGGTGATTCCAGACCTATTTTTATAAAAAGTAAAATAAATTTCTCGACATGCGAGGAGACTTTCCAAACCACAGAATTCTTTCTGCGAGATGAAATTCATGAATGTGCCATCGTAACTACAAATAGAATTTCCGATTTAGAGCTAAAGTGCAAGTTTCGTTTTAGGGAACTCAGCACGTTTTCAAAAATAACCTATACTCGTTGTGATTTCTCGTATAATAGGAATTCCATTTGCCCGTACTTGAGTAGTGATTTAAGAAATCTTTTGAAAGATGAAACAGAGACTGATATTGAATTAATTTCAGATTCCATGATGTATAGGGTTCACAAAGCTATTCTTTGTGCTCACTCGCCATTTTTCTATAGAATGTTTCAAAGCGAATCAGCCGAAACTAGCATCACCATTTCTGATATGAACGCCATCACAACGCTTACCTCACTTATATTTTTGTATTCTGGGGATTTGGCAGAATACACAGACGATTATATCGCTAAGCAAGTTTACGATGCAGCTACTAAATATGAAATTTCTTCACTGAAAACAAAGTGTATATCTTATCTACATTCGAATTCTTCTTTTTGCCGATGAAAAGAATGAAACAGAATTGTACCAAAATGCGCTAAAGTTTCTTGATTCTTGTAATGATGAGGTTTTTACAACAAATGGATGGAAGCTCTTATTGGAATATAATCTACACCTAGCAGCAAAGTGCTTGCAGGAATTAATGATGATGCAAAAAAGTCGCAAACGTTAAAATAATAATAAATTTTGTTTGTTGAAATTTATATTTCAGTCTTCATTTTTTGCATGCTTTCGAACCATTCTTGAAAGTACTGCACAAAATGTCTCAAAAAACTTTAAATTTCAATTGGAAACTTTGAAAGTTAACACAATTGGAGGATTTTTAAGCTGCATTTTATAATATTTATATTATAAAATTATTTTTTTTAATGTATAATTTTTCGTGTTAAATTTTTTCTGCACGTCTGCTTTTTGTCAGTTCCACTAGAAATGTAAATTAATGCATTTAAATTAGGAGCGAGAATTAAATTATTGAGAGAGTATTGGTAAATCAATCCAAATTTGCTATGCTTGTCTGATAATGAGTTTTAACTTTCATTTGTAATTACCTTAGATTTGTAGTAACGTAATTATACGTTAATATGGAGCGAATGTTTAGTCTTTATTATGAGTCTTTTAGTATTTGCTTTGAAAATAATTTAATTTATATTGTATTCTCAGACGCAGAGTTTGCTTTTGTTCTTGTAATTTCATGACCGGATACCCATAAATTTAAAAAAAATTATTAAAATTTGCTGTAATTATTTTGAATTAAGTGAATTACATTAAATACGAAACAAGAATTCATCTAGAAAGTTGCCGAGTCGTTGTCTAGGGGGGATACCCAGTATTAAGTGTAATTAGAGAGTGACATTATAATAGTCATTCTCAGCTCACCGCAGGCGTAGTGCTCTCAAATCGTACTATTTTTTCCTGCTTTGACAAATCTGTGCTATTAAGGGAATTTGATTACGTGTTAAAGCAGCCAATTTGGCGATTTTTTACAGATGAAAATGTAAAAGTTACTCATCAGGAACAAGTTTGTGATTTTCGCGACATTTTTAGAAAGATTTTGATTTTTATCTAGGTTGACAAACATTAGCAATATATTTTAGTAATTTAAAGTACAAGTTTTAGACGTTAAACTAAAATTTCTTGGTACATTAGAAAATAAAACACATACACTCGTCTCCAAATCTTTCTTTTACACAGGTGCGCAGCGATCTGTTTTCGCTTAGAAAAATCATAATAATGAAGATATTGACATTTTTGGAAAACAGAAAAATCATAATAATGAAGATATTGACATTTTTGGAAAACAGAAAAATCATAATAATGAAGATATTGACATTTTTGGAAAACAGAAAAATCATAATAATGAAGATATTGACATTTTTGGAAAACAGAAAAATCATAATAATGAAGATATTGACATTTTTGGAAAACAGAAAAATCATAATAATGAAGATATTGACATTTTTGGAAAACAGAAAAATCATAATAATGAAGATATTGACATTTTTGGAAAACAGAAAAATCATAATAATGAAGATATTGACATTTTTGGAAAACAGAAAAATCATAATAATGAAGATATTGACATTTTTGGAAAACAGAAAAATTTTCTGAAATGTATTTATTTCTTTAGTGATGTATAAGTCAATGCTACGTAGCTTGTATATTATATTACTGTCTATTTTGACTGGCACCAGTAGACTAGCAGATACGATAGCTGAACACTAGGTGTTTGATAAAGGTACAAATACTGGTGAAAGAGCTAGCTGCATGGGAATTTTCCTGTTTCTCCTCATGTATTATGTGAATACAAGTCAATTTCATAGAAAGACCTTCTCAAAGGCATAGAAATCTTCTCAAATATCGTATAAGGTTAGCTCTTACTGTACGTTACCTTGCTTTGTGTAACTTAACATAGCGTAGCCATCAACACCTTAATAATTTTAATACAAAATGACAAAAATTTTTTTTTGCTACCATATTACCACAACAAATTTCGCAGGATGCACCAAACTGTGTCAACCATGTGTATGTGCATATAACAATTCTTCAGTTTTTAATAAGCAGCATCACCATTTTTGTATGTTTTTTTTCCCTTTTTTTGTGTGTATTTGTCCAAGTTACAATGATTTTTATAACTCATTTTTATTTTTATAACAAATCATTTATAAACAAATCATACTTTTTTAAATGTGAAATTAATTTTAAAATATGCACTTGTGGAATTTGTCTGCAATGGATGAAATAGTAGTATGAATAAAATTCTGAAAAAATAAAGCTGTATCAAATTATAAAGTTACAGAAGAATGGAATTTGCTATGTTAGTTGAATTTAAATTACCCGGAATCTTTCTCCCTTCGCTGTTGCTATACCACCAAAAGAAAACCAATTATGAACAGCATCCTGCAAACAAAAACTTGCTTGTAACAAGGTTTATTGATTGATTGGTACAGACTTTAATGGCATATTTGTTACCAAATGAATCTAAAGCAAACCAGTATGAAGGGTAGTTTTATTAACTTTTTTTTTTTTCAAATTAGCAACTCTGTAAAAGGGATCATCCAGCTGTACTGACACTGCATGTTCTTTCTCATATCTAGTTATTTGGTTGTAACAGGCAGTTAAGATAAAAACACTTGTAACACTGCTTAATTTTTATGTATGGTAGCCCAGTTACATGACTACAACATTTTTCCACTACTTTTTTTACACTGTAAACTTGGTTTAGAAAGTTATTTACCAAGATTTTGGGATGTTGTATAGAAATATCATATGGAAAAACTATGTTTCAGAAGAGAGTTTCTGAAACTTATTTGTTTATTGAATCCATGAATGTATGTAGATATTAATTCCTTTTCAGTAATAATCACAATACATATTTACATCTATTTCTGATACTTCCAATTTTAAGGAATAATCATGGAGTCTATACTGTTACATAGAAGATGCTAAAAAAAATACTTAAC